GTGTCAAAATACGGATTTAGACTGGGGTATTAGAGAATTCCTCGTCTTTCTCTTCCCTCCCCAAAGCCATTTGATGATCATTTCAACCACAACTAAATAGGGGATGTTTACAAGGTCCAAGTTATCCTGAAACTGTGTAGAAACTAATGAGGAAGGAAGATTTTTATAATGCTCTTGTGAAACATTTAATGAGCTCTGAAATAGTGGTGGCAGACCTCAAAGGAGAAAGGTCCATTTTAAAACTTTGCAGTTTACTAAATGGCAGTGTGCAGGAGCCCCAAGCACTATTTATTTTCAAAGACTATTTATATCTGAAAATACCCAACTCCTGTAACCCTCTTCTACTCGAAAAGTCTTTACCCCTCTGTTGCAGCTGCCATGCAATCAGTGGCACTTGCCAAGCAATGTGCTCCTAAGGCCCAAAATAACACATTAATACATTTTTCTTAATGCAATGGAACTGGATTTTGCCTCAGATATAGTTAGCTCATCTCCTCACTTCCAGAGGTCATCCCCATTAAAACCAGAATGTGCCATTCTGGGAAGGCTAGGAAGGGCTTTTGGGAGTGGAGGGATGGTGAGGGTGAAAATCCCCTGGCTTTATCAGTAATACAGCTTTCTTTTATTACATTCCCATTCCCCCTTCTCATCCCCCATCAAACTGCCTACAGCTGTGTTCTCTCAATCTTCAGCCTGAAAGAGATGAAAAAGCAGCCTGCAAGACGACTACTGTTTTTCAAAAGTCACTCCTACACATATAGACAACGAAGCAAATAAAGTTAAAAAATAAGAAAATCATCACAGTGCCACTGCAGAAGGTAGAGCCAGATATTTTGAAATGGCACAGTTTTGTTCCTTGGAATAAAAGAAGGTGAGACATATTTGCTAAGAGAGTGTCTAGTTAGGAGAAGTCCTGCTGACCCTTTCTACCATGGTAAGGTGAACCATTGCTGAAAAACAAACTGAACTACTTTAATACCACCACCTGCAACAGGTCCTTTGAAGTCTTCAAGGTCCTTATTTTTCACTTGGTAAGAAACTGTAGGAGCCTGAAGAGATTCTGAAAATATTGATGAACTCGGCATCACAAGATCACTTTTTCTGGCAACTCAGAAAAATATTAAGACACAAATTCCATACTGACTGCCAGCTCTTATTTCATGGGTTGGATCAAGCTCATTTTAAAGGTAGTGGAATTAAAGAGATCTTCAGTTGATGACCACTTCTGTTCAATCCAAAATCAACAGTTTGCAAAGCACATTTGAATTTTAAAAAAAATTGATATGGTCTTTATTCAGTGCCTAATACTGCTGACACGAGTAACAAGTAGTCAGTGCCCTGAAATTTAGTGATATACAGAAGATGTGTCTTTTCTCATCTGGTTTCCCTGCTGCTCTGTCAGTCCACAGAGACACTGCCATACCATTTCTTATGCAACAACTCTGCTCTGTGGGTTACTGGAGTAAAACAAAAACTGTAGTTTTTGCAGTAAACTGCAGTGGGTTACTGCAATAAAACAAAATCCACATTACAGAAGACATTGCTGGCTCCTCTAATTCCATTTTTCCACAGTGCTTCTGCTGAAGAAATTGATGTCAGACAACTAACTCAAATTTCCCTGAACTCCCCTCAAACACACATTGAACACTTTACAATGCCCACTTTTCTATTTTCCTCCCCACAGCTCACTGGAGAGGACCCTCTGTGCATTCAGAGCAGCACAATGAAGAATGATTTCCAAAGCATTAACTTGGAGCCATTGAGACTTGGATGTTTTCAAAATGACTCTATTGTGCTTAAAGGATTCTAGACTACCCCAGCTACTCTAGAAGAGAGTCTTTTTCCCCTTTCTCAAAACATCCATCCCTTGAGCCATCCCTGGAGTGCATTGTTGGGGCCAATTCCTTAGTGCAGCAAGTTCCATCAGTCAAAGCTCAACAGATACAAATAATATCAGGATATGGATATAAATTAGTGCGACAGACCCTAAATAGTTTTGACAGGTTCAGTAAGTATATATAGTGACACAGAATGCTATTCCTGCTCTCAGACATCAATATGTAGACAGAAGATTGGGGGCACCATGGAAACTCAGCGACATAAGAGTGGTATTGATTGGATAGAAAATGAGGCTGCAATTTAAGCTTAAGGCTGCCAGAGATGCCAAGAATGGAGAATGACCTCCAGCAGTGAATTTTCAGCATAAGCTCCCTGTGAACAAGCCAGTCCAAGAAGGATAAATCAGGGACAAGCTCACCAGGGATATGGCTCAAGCGAGTGTCGCTACCCTAAGCAGATGAGAATCACTCTGTGTGTGCACGCGTTACAGTGACCTAGTTCGTTCAAAGACAGCATTTTGTATGGTTTATTATGGAGCCCGGAACAAAGAGATTTCCTCAATTAAAGTCCTGAAATGCATCCTCTAAATGAAAATGCTTTTGATACACTGACCAGCAAGAGGTTGTAAATATCGAAGCAAAGCATACATTGTTAAAGAGCAATTCCCACAGAAAATGCCACAGTTGGGAATGTAGGTAATGAGGGGGCCTGAACAGAACAGAAGCAATGAGCCATGCCAGCTCCATCCCTAATGCCCTAGTCTTACACTAAAACACTTGTTATACCATAACACTAGATAAATTGTATTTTCCTTGACAAAAACCCCAACACACACAAACACACACACAGAAAAAAAAAAATAGTATGAGTTAAATGAGTGCATTTTCAGAGCTCCTGTAAAGAATTCTTTTTAATTGTCTAAGGAGTCAGGAACAACCATTCCCAGAATAATAAAGACGAAATTGAGGACATGTCAAGGAAGTACCTTGCCGAAGCCACGACTGCTGGAAGTTTACTAAGTAATAATATTCACATTCGTGGCAGAAAGATTAATCTACACAAAACATTCACCAGTACAGCTGTGTCAGGAATAAGATAAGCCTCCAAAGTGTCCCCAGTGTCAGGCATACGGTACTGGGATAGCAGCACTATGTTTTGTAAACCTATAGTGAGACAAACCTTCTGCTGGCAAGGATGCATCAGCCACAGACTGTATCTCAAATAACTGGGGATAGACGTCTGGATAACTGCAAAAAACCTGCTGTTCTTAGGCCACTTCTACACTGTAAATGAATATTTACCATTTGTAAGAGAAAGGTTTGTTGCTGGCTTCCCTCTTTCCCCACCCAAGAGCTGACTCAGGAGTAAAGTCGGTGAGTTTCGGTCCTTCAGTTTCACCCAAAGCTTCATACATAAAAAATCACTGAAGAGTTTAGTGCAGCCTGGAGTTTATTAAATCTCCACTTTGCTTCTCATTAGCAAAAGTTGCTAAATTATGCATCAGGAATTGGTTTTCCGGCTTTTTGGGGTCAGTTAAGGGGGTTTGGGGTTTGTTTTTTTTTAGTTTGATGAGGTACCCTCTCCATGCACTTCCAAATTTTCTTTCCTACAGCAAATAAAAAATTTTGTCACAAATACATTGGTTCCTGTTTCCTTTCAAACTATTTCTCATGATCAAAAGTTCAGACTTTTTCTTTTTTTAATTCTTATTCTTTTTCATGGAGGAAACAGAAACAAACAGAACAAAACAAACACACAGTAACATTAAATTTGTTTTGTAATCAGCTTAAGAACACTGCTCAGAACACATAAAAGCCCAGGTATTTCTTTGTAGCAACTTTTACTTTCCTTCTCTCTTTCTCTCTCTCTCCATCCCTTCCCTCCTTCTCCCTAATAGAGTCAGTTACACACATCGTTTATTTCTTGTTCAAAAAGTTGAGCTTTGCTAAAAGCTAAAAAGACTCAGTGCCCAGAGGGAAAGCAAGGAAAGGACATCAACTCAAGAGATGATGAGCCACAGGTAAAATGTTCCTCTACCATAATACAAGTCATTGCAAGCAAGCAGGATCTAGTTAAAACACCACTAACCATAGCTGCAGGGTTATGTGGCAGAGAAAGATTAAACTCCTGTCACAAACCTTTCCCCAGTGCTCCCAAGAACCAGCCAGTCTCTCAGGTGCACATCCTAGGAGCCAGCTCCCGAGGGTACCACTACATTAAAGTGCAGTAGCCATTCACCACCAAGGCAAAGCCACTGGCAGCGTGGAAGAGAGGTGCAACAGCCAGGTGGAAGAGGTAAAAGGAGCAGATAAGCTCCCGCAGGATGGAGACTACCCCTCCTCTGTGAAAAGTTGTACTTTTAAAAAGGAGAGCAGAAAGGAGGGTAGGGAGTTAGAAGCACCGGGGCTGGAGACTATTAAACATTTGCAGAATCACATATATATTCAACAAAGAGGAAACTGTTTTCACCATTGTTAACTCAGATTTTCCCCCAGCCTATCCCTCCCGAAGAAGGAGAAGACAAAAACTAACGACGGCAGTTTTAGATAGAGCTATCAGCTCTTGCTAGATTTAGTTGTTTCACCAGGAGTAAATCAGGGATAAGAAGGCAAGTCCCAAGAAAAAATATCAGCGGAAGCGCTCCTCTGAAGGTACAATTTAAACTCCCGAGTTCCAGCCGGGACGTTCCTGGCACAGGGGAACGCAGGGGGTTTGCCGCTCCGCTGCCCTTTTGTCCTTCGGAACGGACCTGCCCGAACACTCCTGCCGCCCTTCCCCGCTGGAGCCCGTCACCCACCGCCACCGCTGTCCCTCTCACCCTGCACTGGCATTTAAACGCTCCCGGGGACCGAAGCACCGTGGCAGCGCTCCCCACCCGGCAAAGCGCGGTAGTTCCTGCTCCTGGGCACTCCCAGACCTCACCCACCACCGCGGCCAGGTGTCTCCGGGGCTCAGCTGTCCCCCTCAGGTGCACCCCTGCTCCCACCCAGTCCCACGGCCCCTCTGGCCGGCCACCCTCTGCGGAGTCCTGCTGGGGCAAGTGTCCCGGAGCCGCGGCAGGGACGAGGGGGAGCGCTTCCCACTCTGCCCGGGGAAACAAGCGCCGGAGGCACCATCCCTCGGGCAGACTCCGGGAGTCCCCGCCGCTGCCTCGGACTTACTTCGGGCGGCAAAAAGCTCTTCTCCCGCAGCTGAAAGGGGCGAGCCGCGACCGTCCCCGGTGAGCAGCGGCTGCTTCTGCCGCCGCGCGTCCCTGCGCTCCTCACGGACGGGCTCGCCGGCCGCCGCCTCACGCCCGGCTCTGCTCTCTCTCTCGCCGGAGCTTTCTCGCCGAGATCTTTATACTGGAGGCAGGGAACCTGATCCGCGCTTTGACTCGGCGGAGCCCGGGCTGCGGCGAGGCGGCGAGAGGAGGGAAGGCAGGCGGGCGCCGGGGCAGAGCGAGCGGCCGCGCTGCCCCCTCATGTGATGCGGAGGGGCGCGCCCGCCGGGCGGGTCACCCGCGGGGCAGCCTCGCCCCCGCCGCGGGGCTGGGCGGGCGCGGGGGCGGGACGGGACGGGACCGAACCGCTCTGCTCCGCTCCTCTCCTCTCCCCCGCAGGTCCCCCGGGAGCAGCGCGCCGGGGAGAGCCGGCTGGGGAGCTGCTGCAGCGAGGTTCGCCCGAGCGTCCCTGCCGGGCTTGTTAGCCCAGCAACTTGCCCTCCTCTTCATCACCCAGGGAGAGGGAGAGGCAGCTCGCCCTACAGCCCGGCCGGTGCGGGGCTTCAGCTGCTTTTTTGCAGGTACAAACGTCCCCCGCAGCTTTTGCCCCGGTCGCCTTTGGCTGTCAGAGTTTGGAGAGCTCTAACTTCGGCCTCGCTGACTTCCAGCTTGCCATTTTCACCATAGAGTGATCGGCTGGAAATACTGCTCGGGAGTGGGAAACAAGAAAATAAATAAATAAAAAATTAAAAACCGACCCCTTCTCCCCTGCCAGCCCCCCACCCCCAGCTTTTAATTTCAACTTGGCCTAAAAGCGCTATGAGAACAACTTTTGCCATGACATTTCAACACTTTTGGTCGTAGCTGTTGTTGGAGTTGTATCAGGGCTTTCATTTAGAAGCAGGCTTTTCCAACTTTTAGCTTCATTACATCCACTGAATAAGAGTGTTCCCCAATCCACAGCTTAATTTAAAACTACATGGACTTGTTCCAAACTCCAGGCAATTTCTGTGTAATTCCCTGTCCCCAGAGCAAGTCTCTGCCTTATTTGAAAGACTGGGTCCATTCACTGCTTAGGTCTCAGCTGGGTTTGCAGCTTGCAGCTCCTGCTCCAGGTTTGCACAGAAATCCAGTTCAGATTCCCCTCCTGTTTCCAGAGGAATGAGCTAAAAAAGTAATTTGTCTGGCACCATACACATTGCATCATCTAACACCTACCATCTGTGACAATGAAAAGCACTGTACAGCCAGTCCCAGAGCAGGCAATTGCACTCACCTGGAGTCCTTCTTAGTAAAGTAAACTAACCCTTTCCGTCCACACCTTGACATCTTCTTTTCATCACACAGTTATGTGCTCAGTCCTGGCATGGCTGTTTGGGATTTGCACCACCAGCAGATTTAATAACAGTGATGTAATTTAAAACAACAATTTTGATTTGCAGTGTAAAGTGATGGCTTGAGGTGGAGAGAATGTCCTTCCTAGCAGCTGGATGAGTGGAAAGGAACACTCAATGGCATTTGTGTTTCAGAGCATGCAAGGCTGAATGAATGCTTGCTAGCCAGCTTGCACCTTCCTGAGGTCTTCTCTGTGAAATACTGGCAGCACGGTGCTAAGCACGACAAGCACCTAGAGAAAGAAACTTTCCATCAAAAAACACCTGGTAGTGGTTGACACTTTGCAGACCCAAAAAATTCTCCATACAACCACTGTAGGACATTTCAGATGATCAATCCTTTCTGAGTAACAAAGTAGGAAACATCAATGGCTCTAAGTTCACCTTGATCGAAACCAAAACAGATTGCATCAGAATGGGCTAAGAGATTTCTTGCTTCCCTCACAGAGATCTGAGTGTTAGCCAAAACACTGCAAGCTTAAAACAGTGGAAACTTTGCAGAAAGGAACTGCTTTTCACAAAGATGTGCATGATGTTAGAAGGCTCATTTGGCCTCTAAATTTGGAAGCAATGTCAAGAGTTAATCTTCTACCAAATTTGCTCCCATATTTTCTCCATACCTAGTTTTTCATGGCTCTGATGTTATTTTACTGAAACTGAGTTTACATGCATAGAAACTAGTTTTGTGTGTTATTTGACTCAGAATCTCCAAAATAAAACTGCTAACAAGGTTAGCAGAGATTCTCAGGGGACATTGTTCAAAGCACCCATGACTGAAAAAGGGAGTATCTTGGTTTTTGATTGCCAAAAAAGTAAGTGGTTTTTAATGTTTATATTGTTTCAATGGCACCTTGAGGCTTAACTGTGGTTTCCATTGCAACAAGCACTGTACAAATACAGGAAAAATATTCTTTGCCCCAGATAGCTCACTGTGTTGGATACATTTGATATTAATGGAGCATAACACTTGAATTTCTTGAATGAACTTTTGCTATTAAGACAGAACCTGTTAAGACAGAGAAAACAATGAGACAGTGAATACAGCAGTCTTAACAGGACAAATGTGACTTCTTTGGCCAAGGAAAAGGTGGCCAACTATGTTATTCACAGTCTGAAAGGTGCCTGTGGCACTGGTTCCCAGTGGAAAACAGCAGTACAGCATGGAGAAAAGGAATGGATGGAAGATAAGCTATGACCATTTACTTTCACAGAGATGTCTTCTTTAATAAAAGGATATTAAGGTTTGAGAAGCTTATGTCCAGATCTTCTCTGCTGCTTTGTCTCTCCTGAGTTTTGTTCTTAGACAATGGTATAATTGCTGCATGATCTCTGGAACTGCAGATTAGTCCACATTTCTTGTGACATATAGGAAAATCCCTACTGAAAAAATACTTTTCAGCTATTACTTTTCTAGTCTGAACACAAAGGTAACTGAGAAAAGAGACTTTGCTCACAAAGATTGTCAGGGATACTTATCTTTAAAATCCTTAACATTCCACTCAAAAAAAACTGCTTCCACTCAAAAAAAACCAGTGGTGAAGAATGGACTGGCAGCTGTAGAAGTCCAGTTTTTGTTTTCACGTATTCTCTTTGCTACCTGAAGCAAAAATGTACAACCTAATGAGTGAGACAGAGTTAAAATATCTCTTAAAAAGGAAAACTGAAGGTTAGGGCCAAAACAAGCTGTAAAAGGACCTTTGATTGATGCCATAGGCAAATGGTCTCGTAAACAATCCAAAAGTATTAGATCCTAATTAGAGTCTCAATTCAATCAGTAAATTCTTTTGGGGAAAGAAGCTCCCAACTTCAGATACAGTTTTTGCCAAACTACAGAAAGCACCCCTAAAAAGTTCCCTTTAATTAGATGTATTTTTCCCTTTGAAAAAAACATAAACACCAAATTTTCTCTTTGGAGCTAGTGGTTTTTATTCATTTCACAACCCACCTGAAGGAGATAGTTGGAACTTCTATCAGCAGTTTGAACATTTTTTCCAAAGATGGCCTTAAAAATTCTGACTCTAAAGTTCAGAGAGCAAGTCAGAGGATAAGGCTTTATGCAATTTTCTCTCAAGAAGAGCTTCCCTATTTTTGGTCCCACTGCTGAGCAGGTTAGAAGGTCAGCTGGAGCTGAGCTTGCCTTGTTTGTTTCAGCTCCACTGTAAATATCAATTTCTTTCCCTGCTCTCCCCAGCCATCAGCAACAGCAGCACCAGGAAAATGTAACATGATTCCAGGAAAGCAGAGAGGAGAACTCCACAACAGTTTAAAGGCTTTTTCACCTTTTGCTCCATTGTTGTTCCCAAGCTATTGAGCTGCCAAGCCCTGGCAACTGAGTGCCCTGCATCCCGACAGCCGCACTCAGATCAGATTTCCATTAGTGATACTGAATTATTTAGTGAATGCATTGAGGATTGAAATCAACGACTTCTGAGCTGTGTACCCTCTCACTCTATCGTTCATTTCAAGCCCGCACACTATCATCACAGAGACTATCAATCTTATAATTGGAGTAGAAAAATCCATAGACTTCAGAAATAATAATTCATACCTTACTCTCTAATATTAAAGTAATCCAGAGTATAAAAAATCTGATTTCCTAGAGGCATGTGGAAGACGATGGCAACAGCATGAACCCAGAAGAGTTATTCTTTCATGCACATATGCTAACACCTTAAGATATTTGAAAACAAAGTCAGTGGCCCAGAACTTGATCTTAAGCTTCAGTCACCAAACCATGAATACGTGTCGTAACTTTACACATTTGACTGACTCTATTTTCTACAAGGGGATTAAAGCTCTTCTGCTCAAAATTATTCATGTGCATACATCTGCATGCTGCAGTTTGAAATCCACAAATATAATGCAACACAGCAGGCCTTTCCAGATCCCCAGCATTTAAAAGGCTGCTCTTCATATGTTGGCTTCTCTCACTACTTTCTTCTTTTGTTTGTGCTGGCAATCCTGGGAGTGGAAGACCTACATATCCAGGATTTGAAGTCTACTGCATTAAAAATAAAATACCTTAGCTATGATGAAAAAAAAAAAAAATTGCCTTGAGTACATGATCACCTTTTTTTCCCCCTAAACAAACATGTTAATTTCGCTCTAGTTTCACAGTTTAGGGAGAAATTTAAACCAAAAGAAAATGGCGTTTTATTATGAAGGGCTGAGCAACAGCTACCACTTCTGTTCTGTGTTCTGGGGGTTTGTCACTATGCATTGTAGAATTGAAGCAAAAGGCAGAAACGACATGTTTTTCCTTTGAAAATGAACCAATAAAATTCACATTTTTAATTGATTTCAAACTTATGGCAGAAAATTACTCTAAAATTAGAATGCAAATTTCCCTTTCAATTTCTCCCAGGAAGAACCTGATTTGCTAATACCTATTTTTTCACAAGGCACTATACCCATGTGCCTAACTACTCTATGAAAGGACTGGCTTTCGAAGTTGAGAAGATAGCATTTAATCCCACCAAAACAGTCTTTGGTGCTTCATTAAGACAATCAGCTAGCATCAGACAGAGTACTAAATAGCTTTGCCCTGGGCACTGGACTGAAATGGTCAATTTTACTCTCTGCCAAGCTAGCAATAACAGATTAGAGGCTCTAACTCTATAGCAGGAAAGTGATTAGAAAATTAGAAGTATTGTGATCCTTTCCCTATGAGCTAAATCATGACACAAAACATAATCCAGTTTTGAAATACATAATCACTAACTTTCAATCCAATTGTGTCTATATAATCACCAACCACGTTTTGAAATACATAATCATTAACTTTCAATCCAATTGTGTCTATATAATAAAAAAAATATTTCTTACTATTCCCTTTAGGGTGAATTGTTAGTATTT